AGTATAGATGATATCTGACAGTGATTAAAATCACTATCATAAGAAACGCTTCGATGCAAATCTGTAGATAGTGTTTCCTTTAGAGAAATTGGTGAAATATTTTAAAAGCAACATGAACTCTTATTTCTTTAATTATATCCTGATTAGTAGTTCTTTGATTTTAAAATATAATATATGAATAAATACTAATTATAGTTTTTAAATTTAGTATGAAATTGATATTCAATAATTTAATATTGTAATTTAAATGGAGAAATTATAAATATAATAAAGAAANTTGTAATTTAAACGGAGAAATTATAAAAATAATAAAGAAGTTATATTTTGCTTTACTTTTACGTGTATAAAAATTTAAAGGGCTTGATACAATAATTTTCAATAAAAACTGTTTGTTACTATAAAAAAATGCACTGGACTACAAGGAACTTTCATCAGAAGCAAAAATATACTTTTCTAAATCAACTTTTTGCGTTGTTTTTAAATCTGCAATTAGACTTTTTCTATCACTTCTAATTTTTTATATTATTACTAATTACATTTAAAATAATAATTAAAAGATCAAAAAAATTTGTTTTCAAATTATTACTGATTTGATTTTTAATATGTTAAAAATAATCAGTCCAAATTTTCATTTTTAACCTATTTTTTTGGTTCTTTAAAGTTGATGAAAATTTTTTGATAAAGATTTATGAAAGTTTATAGTAAAAAAACTTGAATATATTACCATAACTTTTAGCTCAATTACAAGTTTAAAATGTTGCTAGGATCTAGGCCATCTTAGCATCTAGGCCAGTCAACAAAGGAAAAATTGTGGAAAAAATTACCAACCAAATTTTGTTTTTCTAAAAGTATAATTAAAATATGTAATATGACATAATAATAGTCCTCATTGTTTGGAATTGAGCTTTTTTTTTTACAGCCTAGCAAAAGTTCAAAAATATGAGCTTTTTTAATTTTCTCAAAAAATATTTAACTTACAAAAAATAGTTTCGTACAAAAGATGTTTGAAAGACAATTTTAAACAAAAAAATTATGTTATATTTTTTCATTTAAACAAATATTTTTCGAGTTACATTACATTTAATATGAGTACTAAAATTTATATTCCATTTTTTTCATTTTACGGTTACTTTTTATCTTGTTATACTTACATTAGACACAATGTTATAAATGCATATGTGTGTATGTGTGAGTTTATTTATTTATTGTATCATTAAAGTGTAGTGTATATTAATATACAAGCGATAGAGTAGGTAATTGATTTGACGCTATATTGTTTAAACCCAACTAAAAAACAATCATATTACGTCAATTGCCACCGGAATTTCTGGTAATCTTTTTCTTTTTCTTTGCCTTAATCCCAACTACTTGGAGTCGGCCACCCTTATCCTAAGCTTCCACTTGACACGATCTTCCACATCTTCTACGCTCACATTAGCTGTCCTCATGTCGCATTCAATAACATCCCTCAATCTCTTTTTTGGTCTTCCTCTAGCTCTTC